TTCTGACCCAGCAGCTAGAGTTGCAGTATATCAAAGCTGCTTGAACGCCGATATTTAATATGTAACAATTTTATAATATCAACAATTTTTAAAATTGTCCTTCAATCGGAAATAACACAACATGATAGTGTTTAAAAGGTACATATGTGTACTGTAGTACACAGTGCACTGTACCATAGGCCAAAACACCTTGTAATGTTACATAAAGGTAGCACCTATTATGGCAGCTGAGTCATTGTGCGCACTTACTTTTTAATATTTCAGGGTTTAGAAACATGTTGCTGTTACAAACCCACCATCATACACAATACACACAATACACTTTCAGTTCAATCATGCCCACGGCACATATGGCCTATATGTGCGTTTCCTGTAAATGTTGTTTGTCCTGGTTCCTGGTTTCACCCAGTGATTTTAGTCTGATATAAACAGGCTTTGGAAATGTAATTTTTCCTTAATGTTGTTTCAAACAAAGTGTTGTTAGGGACAATTTTATTGAATAAATTTCTTTGAAAAATTATTTTTGTCATAGTCTTTGTTATCAGCGACCTTATGCAGTAAGGTTTAATTGACACTGGGAGATTATACAGCGTTGTTTTTGTTTTTTACTTTACTATAATCTTATGATATTTATACTCAACTAAAACGAAACTGAAATCAAAAGAATTTCGATGTCGAAATTATGACTGAAGCCATTTTATGCTTTAGTCAAAAGGATACAACTAGAACTAAATCAAAATTATCTGCCAATACTAAATGCTGCAGGAATGACTGTTGGAGGTTGCAGTTGTTTCAGCAAACATCCAAAAATACATATTTAATGTGTCAAAACAACAGTTTTAATTCCAGCTACCCCAGCACCTGATAGCCTGTTGTTTGGCAGACAAAGGTGAAGACTATGAAAGCATTTAAATCTTGTCTGTGTGGGCTGTATTTGTGTGTCCTAAAGTGGTATGCATGCTCAAATATATCTGAGTGTGTGTGTATGTGTGTTTGGATTTGCACCCTGAGTGTGTGTGTGTGTACGTGTGTGAGCGTGCGGGGGTCTAACTGCCTACCTTCTTATCCAGTTTACGCCCACTCAGGGTCAAAGTGATGATTCTGTTGTCAGACAACTCCTGCGCTGTTATCTAAAATAAGAGCATCGCACAACATTAGCGGCAGCAGAAGCACTCACAAATATTAACATTTACATCGACAACAGGCAACAGGAACAGTTGGCAAACACGGTAACGGCAGCAGCCTCGATGACTTCAGGATCAGCGACTGTAGCCATACGATCTCACCTGTTAGATTCAGTGAAGATTACATTTGATACTAAACATGTCTTCTAATAGAGAAAGTAAAAATTCTTACTACTAACCTTGATGCTT